AGGCCAAATCCTTCATTTACCTCGCAGTTTGGAATTAGATAATGCTGTGAAAAACTGTGTAGGTGAAACAAAACAATGTAACATCGCTTCTTCTTCTTCTTTGGAAATAAATAAACATCACTTCTAATTCACTCAAGAAGTCCGCGTCAGGTTTTTACCGCGCCACATTTCGCTGGCCAGACGGATTGGGGAGGCTTGATGTTTATGGTTTAAGACATTTATTTATCTAAAAGAATTACATTCACTTACAAGAGAAATACAAAATTAACCTTAAAACTAAAAGTTTATACAATTTTAATTGTTTACATTTTAATATTTTTTGCACGAAGCAGACGCGTACAATAGCAGTCACTCGAGTATTAATTTAGTGGCCATTCGTGGGTACACTAAGAAAACAGTAGTTATAATTCGTAACGACAGGTCCAATTACGTATCGTATTCTAGTTTCTATGAGAATGTTGTACTTAAGTCACTTTTTTTTTTTAAAGTTATTTTGATTTTATTTGCTTCAACCATTTTTAGTATTATTAAATTATCATGATTGATGTTCGCGTGTAAGTTCCTTAGTCGCCTCTTACGACATCCATTAGTATGATTGGAGGTCCTATACTACTCTGTTGCTAATACTGTTTCAGTGGACTGACGAATTGAAATCGTAGATGCTGGGAGTTGGTAGAACAGGACCGGTCTATATGGAAAACCTTTGTCCAGCAGTGGACATTTCAAACTTCGTTCGTTCGTTTCAGCCAAATGACGTCCACTGCTGGACAAAGGCCTCCTGCAAGGTTTTCTACAATGCACGGTCCTTCGCTGCCCGCATCCAGGGTCCTCCCGCGACCTTTACCAGATCGTCGGTCCACCTAGTAGGAGATATCAAACTTAAAATGAATAAAAGAACTGGTTATTTCACAAAAAAGTGTCAATTCCTTGTCGCCATGTAACCCCTGCTTTACCGCTGGCACGCGAGGCGTGCTCAAGTTCAAATTAACTATTTTTTCCAGTCGCGAACTCCATCGATCGAGACGAATTCGACGCCGTTTTTAACGCTGTAAACGTTGTTATTGCCATTCGAGCTTTGGCGAAAATAGTACTATGGATCTTTGGAAGCTTCTGACAAGTTCTTTAGCTAGAGTTCTAGCGTTTACCTCAGTCAGTACCTAAGGTATGATGGGAGAGGTATGGAAAGGTGTTTTTGTAATATAAAACGTCAGCGAGACTTCAGACACAGTAAATACAAATGAGTAAGTCATCTTCATAGAAACGCCCGAGCGTGTCAGTGTGTTCGTGCGCCGCGTGGTGACGGCAGAGTAGAATACATTTGTCACCAACCCATACTCTTCCCGCGGGTGTCGTAAGAGGCGACTTAGGGACTACACATCAAACAGAGAACGGGCAGCAGCGCTCTCTGAAAAACATCAATCTTTTAAACTGCGATCTCCAACCCGCCTGCCAAGCGTGGAGATTATGGCAAATCCCTCCACTATAGTAGAGGAGGCTCATAGTCCAGCAGTGGACTGTAAAGGGCTGTTGATGATGATGATGAAATGGGAAAAGTATAGAAAAAAAAATATTTTCGATGGGGAAAGTTGCATAGTTTCATTTCATTTATACTTTATTGTATACTCTTCCTAGCTCCTTTTAGATTTTCAGGCAGGAATTTTTCTAACAGCATGCCAAATGTGTCTGAAGAAATTTTTGTTTTTTTTCCTACAATGCTTACTTTCTAGTATATTAAACTGTCTCGTGGATTACTTACCCTCTTTTGCGCCGCAGTCGGGTAAAAATCATCAGGCACAAACTTTCTTCACCAAGGTTCACCACAGAGAGATTTAACGTACTAAAACTTATTTTTACTTCATCATCTTCATCATTTCAGCCACAGGACGTCCACTGCTGAACATAGGCCTCCCCCAATGACTTCCACATCGCACGGTTGGTAGCGGCCTGCATCCAGCGTCTTCATTCTACCTTTATCAGTTTATTTATTATCAGTATTTTTTTTACTCAGTTTAGTTAATATTGAATGTTTTTAGGTTTTTACTCTAACACCACGTAACTTTATGAAAGTCTCCAAAGAAACTAAAACAGTTCAAATAAAACCCACAAAATAGGGTATTTGACGCCATCAATCAATTTGACGTTACTTTTTGTGAACTGTCAAAGCGAAACTAAATACCATAGATTTTGTAAGGTAACAAGTCGATGACGTCACTATTTTCTCAATTAATGACTAACTTTTTTCAACTAAATCTTAATTTACAGTACATTTAAAATAAATTGAGTTTTTAAGATAGATGATTACCTAGTGTGTTTTTGTAGAAAAGTTGAGCTTTGCTTTATTGATTTCGAGAAAAGTTGCTTAATTATTTTGATTTTACCTTTATTTTCTTAAACGTCACCTTACGACATTTTACACAGCGCTATACCTTTATTACCAAAGTTTAAAAAGGTTTTACTTCTCGTACGTTTGCAATTTGTGGACATCGAACTCACCTTTAGCTTTGGTCCAATGCGTCTACCACCAGACCTTTATTAAAAGAATTCACGCGAATTATGTCTTTAAAAAGTAAATAGTAGGTACCATAGAATAAATACTAGTGCAACTCTTAAATTTCTTTTTTTTTAGGATAAGGAGGTAATAACAGAATATTCAAAATTCATTATTATTTTGCAAGTAGCCTCTCAAAAAGCACATTTTTTAGCAATTCCTTTAAACCTACCACTGCTTCGGGACAATAAATGGGCCAGTGCTGAGAAAAAGCAGGGCAAGAAACTCAGTGACTATTGAACTTGAAATAAATGTGTAACTCTTAAAATTACTTTTTTAAACTCCCCTTAATCCAACCCTATATTTCGATCCCTTTAATTTAGTTCTATGAACTGACAGATACAGGGTGGAGCGTTTTATTGGAATACTTGCGGCGGCGCGAATCGGGAATGCGTTCGATTCCCGGTGAAGGCGTTTAATTTTGAAGTTTTTTCGCGAGGGTATAAAAAGAGGGGTTGTGAATTGTTTATTTTATTACGTTTTTTTTTGGTGCCTTTTATTTTTAATTTAATTACATGATACACTTATCAGGATGCTGGTGATGGCATATCAGAATATAGACAGTGACATCTTATTTAGTTGAATTATTAGTTACTTTAAAATCACACCTACATTTAGATTCCAGTGAATTATTAGTTATTATATTTTATTAGGTGCCATGACATTGTATAAATTTTTATACAAAAAGATATTTATTTAATTTTAGTTGAAGCACATTAAACTTAGAGATTGAAACATGTATTTACGTATAAAAAATATTATTTTAGTGTATAATAATGAATAATTTCTTTTCCTGCAATACGATATTTGTAGAAATATTTAATGTAAAAAATCAAAGAACATAATATTTTTAACTTCTTTAATAAGTTTTTTCTATAAATCGCTACTTCTTCATTTCCAGTTCAATATTGACGACAATCCATAAAAAAATATTAAATTTTGACATTAAAAATAAAAAAAAAATACAATAACTTTCCACCGTTCCCAAGAGACAGATAGTACCAAGTTTAAATTTATACAAGATTTTTAAATTATATACAAAAAGGTTTTTCTTACCAACTGCCGTCAATATTATTTCTCTAATACTGCTACATTGCACAATAAATAACTTAACTATTTGTTATTTAATTATTACTAATTTATTTACATTATTCAAATAATTAACTTATTATTATTTATACAATCGAGTGGGACACAGTTCGACTAAGTTTATTCAAGAAAATGTTATGTATAATACAAATTTATTTTTAGTTTTTGAATAGCAGAAACAGAAATTAAGCATTGTTTTGCAAATACGAGTACATGATATTATTAACACAGAATATTAACAAACAAAACATAGCCGTTAAAAACCATGAAATCAACAAATATTCCCAAAAATCTACAATAACCTTACCACATTTTTACAAAAGGTATATTTTTTATCTGTAATAAAATAATTATACACTCTCATCATAGTTAACTCTTGCATTTTAAACATAAAAATCTCATGCTATAAAAACTTTATTTTTTACTGTATTTTGAAAAACGTGATTTGGACTAATTTATTGCACATTTTTTCCACAATATTAAAACTTTTGGACGATATCGTGCAATGTTGGCGTAAAGTTAAAAATCAATATTTTAGGACTATATTTTTTCAAACTATAAACTTCCTAATCGACTATAGAACTATAAATAATTCTAAATACGATCTGGATATTACGTTTCTATAAACAAGGAGTGAGAACAATGGCAAATCTTAAACAACATAATATTTTACAAGTTTAGCGCTTAACTCAGTGCCTGAGGTTTGGAAGCGGCACGGGAGGGTGTTTTTGAGACGTCAAATGTCAGCAAGACTTCAGATTTTTATGGTTTGTCCATAACATTTTAATGTCACCCCTCCCGTGCCGGCACTGACCGAGTAAAGTGCTATAAACTGCCCTGAATAGCACTTGTTTTTTTCCGGAAACTAATGATGAATTGGTAGATTTCAATTCTTGTTTCTCAATACTATTGACTAACATAACTGAATTATTGTTTTTTATGAACTTATCGTTTCCTGTGCACTGTCATATCTCGCAATAGATCAAGTTGTGGAATTATTTATGTTCTTTTTTATTTATATGTATTGACATAGATAATATACTTCCACTCGTAAAGTAAATTGCATTTGTTGCTCTTGAATTGGATATTTTCGACTTTTCTAGGAAATTTTTCGATGTCAGCCAGAAATAGGTAATTTTATTCTAGGAATAAGAGAGAGGCAGGAGTAATTCAGTGTTTAAGTATTTTCCAGGCTGAATCATTTACTAAGTATCATTTACCAAGTAGTTAGTGTCTTTAATTCGAGTATAGTTGTTGCAATTCACAAAGGCGAGAGAGCTTTACATGTATGGTAGCTCGCTACTGTTCGTTTTCCAAAAGTTTTCATAGACATTACACTATCGTTATATTATTATGCATGTACACGTACACACACAAGTAAAGCTCGGTCGCCTTCGTGAGTTGCAAGAACTTTAAGTATTTACTTATTGATTATCTTCAAAATGTTAAGTCTACTCAATTTTTTTCAATCGTCAATTCGCCATTACGTTTGTGGTGCTAATTTCAAAATACTCGAATTACCGACCTTAGTTTGGTGTACTAGAAATCAAAAAATATCTTATGTCAAAATGAGAATGCGATTTGCGAATAGTTACTGTAAATGCTTGTAGTTTAATTATTGCAATAGATTTTGAGAGGGTTTTGGTATAACGAACACACGAGTTCCATCTTTTGTAATTAAAGTTCACTTTAAGTCTTGATAAAATCTAACTAAAGTATAGCACTGGCACTGTGGTAAAAAAAACTTGGATGACGATGTTATAGGAATTCAAATAAGGTATGCTTTTACAATTTTGACATAAAAATATACCACCTTTTGGACGCTGTTCTACGTAGTTTCTAATGCCACTCTGTAGCGAAAATATTTTTCGAAACGGCGTCGTTCGCACCTTCATCATTCGAGTCCATAAGATTTCGAAATGAGGTAGTGGAAAAAAATTCGCTACAGCGTTCATCTTTACAGCGGCATTAGAAACTGCTTATGGGGTCCCCTTTATAGAGTAAAACCTAGCACAATCTCCTAGCTCTTTCTATTAGCAGCCAGCTATCTTGGGTAAGTTTAAGTACACACTCCTAGCGGTTTCTATCAGAGACCTGTCTTGGTAAGTAAATACAAGTATATTGTTATTCAGAAGGACGTAAGCATTTGCTATACCAAACCCTTAAAGATTCCAGATTAACGTCGATTCTGTTGCTCCCGCTCCCTCGCCTTCATCTCCAGTTCCTCTTCCTCCTTCGTCAGCGGCACTGTGCTATGATTATACAACCCTTGAGCCATCAGCTGCAAAGCCAAAGGGTTCCTCTGGCCTGAGGCCTTCTTGATCTTGGCGCGTTTGTTCTGGAACCAGATCTTGATTTGGGCTTCCGCTAGACCCAGTTCTGCGGCAAGGGCCTGCCGTCTGCGCTCGGTAAGGTAGCGATTCTCAGCGAACTCGTGCTAGGAGAAGAAAATAGTAACTTTATTGACCTTATTGACAAGATGGGGCAGCATTGTTCTGGAGTAGAGGCCACGTACTGGAAAGCTTAGCGTAGGCGTCCACCCACTTCTAAATTGGTTAAAAATGTCTGTGTAAACCATGTACACATAAAGAAGCAGGTCACAATTCGTTTCAATATCATTATCATCTCAGCGAAAGAACGTCCACTGCTGGACAAAGGCTCTCCAAGGATTTCCACAAAATCCAAAGTAGCCAAAAATTCTCAACATGTTTTTTTTACAATTGAAATAAGATGGTGTTGTCAACTTTTTGGCCACTTTGGGTGTTAGGAACTATTTGAAGTTGACTGTACCTACCTACTTTTGGCAGCTCCCCTGCTACTAAAAGCTACCATCAAGAATCGAACCCTTACCTTTAACCTAGCGAGCTGTGGTCCTGAAAAGGCGGTGCGGGGTCTCTTCTCATCCGTCGGGGTTCCGTCCCCGGGGGGTTTCTTAGGTCGCCTCGTCCGAGGACCTGTAATAGACAGAATTGTTGCACGAATTGTCTAAAAAATAGATCTACAGACCAATTCCACTAAACTAAGGTCTTTTGACATGTGTGATGTTGATAACTTAGCGAGGTTCATTTCATTGTGGTCTGTTATAAATTTGGCTGCTAATTGAATTTTTATAGTATAATTTAATCCTTCAAGCCCCGTGAATCGAGACTGAATATTACGCGGTCTTTTTTATGCGATCACTTGGGGTTTGATGATGGGTTAAATCAATATTTCCTATTTGGATACAAAATTTATGTATTGTAAAATCATGACACTGTGGAATTGGTCTGTAGATTTAAATTGTATTCAAGGAATAATTTAGTACTTAATTGTGATCATAAGAAATGTTAATTTAAGTAAATATGATTAACGTCTTTGATTAAAAATACTGGTTGGGTCGTAAGTCTACTAGCGATTATAAAAATATGATTGTATTTTTTAACACACATATTATGTTACAAACAAAGAGAGACAAGACACAAACAAAAACAAAACAAAAAAAAACACACACAAAGCATTAACACACACAAAAAAAAAACAAAGTTAGAGTAGAACACATTAAAGTTTCATTAGTTTAAAAAAAAGCTCCAAAAAATGTACTAAGTTTAACAAAAAATACAAAAACATACCAAAAAGCAGTTGTGTCGATTTTACACACAGAAATAAAAATAAAAATATCTATAGGCCCCACAAACATGATACGTTTTGACCCCAAAATTTACTCACCGTTTGTACAGTCAGCGTCAAATAGTTCGTGACACCCAAAGTGGCCAAAAAGGTGACAATACAACCTTATTCCAATGAGGGCTATCGTTTTTATACTTAACAGTTGGCACCCCTGGCGATTGACAGGACCTTACTCTACAGTGGCGCCATCTTGATGAGTGCAAATGCGATAGTCCTCGTACAACTTTAGCGCTCACCAGTCGGCGCCACTGTCTTCGCTACTAGCAAGTGACAGGACCTTACTCTACAGTGGCGCCAACTGGTGAGCGCTAAAACGATAGCCCTTATTAACAAAGACGTGTTGCGAACTTTTTGGCTAATTCGGGTATCACGAACTATTTGAGGCTGACTGTACCTCCCAAAAAACTGTTAACCCGTCAGCGCTCAGTCCCACGTCGGCATTCCCAAGCCAAGCGGACGATGCAATATCTTAACCAATTCACTGCCGCGTGAGCCGCGAAACGTCACAATTTAAAATTGGTCAAAATATTTCACCGACTGCCTGACGGGCGGTTCTTCTTTATTCTTCTGTTCTTCTGGTTAACATGGTGATTGATGCTAACAGTAACTACAAGTAAAACCTGGTTGAGTTAACTGCGCAAATGGTGGCCATGACGTCACATCGACGCTCTGAGGGCCTAGTGTGAGTTTACCTCAAACGCGCTCACATGAAATGTATGACGGATTGTACAGCGCCCCTAGTGGGAAACGTTCAAAAACTAGAATTTTCTAGCGCGGCAGCTAGAATGGGGATGTTGCCTGGGTCAAAAAGCAAGAGTTTTAATTAGTCCGTCAGTTAACTTATCAAAAAATACTCTACACGTATTTTTCACTTTTTCAAACTAATGAAAATTTAAAGAGATAAAGCGCCCCAAAGTTCATAAGAAGAGGCCCGTGACGTCAACGCTTGCTTAAAAATGCCGCACGTTGTGACGTCGTGCGCAACTTCAACGCACCATAACTATGTAATTATTTGTTAGATTGACAAATAAAAATATATGTGTCCAATATTTTTTGATATTAAACATTACGGACTAAAAAACTTTTTTTAGGCAAGTAGCCTATTTTCTAGCAGCTTTTCTTTAACGCGGGGAGTTGTGCGGGTGAGTGCGAAAGAGAATCACATTCCAGCGAGGTGCGCAGTAAACTCGATTGGGTTGTAAGTATATTCCACAATAGTAAAAATTGGCAATCTTGTAAAAAAAAACATTAGACCATTCTTTGACTAATGTGAAATTGGACTATTGTAGTAATTTATTCGCCATCAAATTTAGTAGACATCTTACAACAAGTCTGCTAAGTTTTATTGGCGTGGGTATATTTTTTCGAGAAAACAGTAAAAACAAGGAAAACAAACACTCACAATCTCACATGCATGTTATTTACTCTAATACTTTCAAATAACAGGGTTTACAATAAATATAGGTATTAATCAAATAAACAACAAAGTGCAAAAATAAAAAACGGTGCAAACAATAATACAAAATAATGATAAAAACTTAATTTTAATGTGCGCTGTATTTTTGGCAGCAAATAGGTTAAGTTTTCTGTGCATTTGGCTTGGTTTCTTTAACCCTTAATTAGTCGCATGGGGTCAAAGCATTTTCGGATTCAAAAATGAAGCACTTGGCGCGGCCCGATTTTCTCCGCGCCCCCAGTAGCTTCATAAAACACGTCTTAGTTTGTATTTTGATAGCGACTAATTCACGGGAGTGGAAGGATGCGTCGCTGCGCTCTTGAGTGGTGACCCCATGCGAGTAATTACGTAACTTTTTTGGAAGAGGTAAGTTTTTTGTTTTATGTATTTATTTTGTGTATTATGAATAATATTTGTGTTATTGTATATTCAGTTAATAAATGTTTGTTATAAATGTGTTTTTACAGCTCTAAACAATAAAAATATTGATAAATTCAGTTTTACTACTACTTTGTCTTTTTTTTTTCAGAGTTAGTAGAGATAGGAAAAAATAGCAAATTGTGCAATGGTTGGAAGATGTTTCTGATGAAGAAGAAGTTGGAGGGTCGAGTTCTGAGCCAGAGTTAGATGAAATAACAAAAAGTGATCATGATAGCGCTAATGAGATCGAGCAATCCTCCGCACAATCAAGTGAATCGAAAATGCAAGAAATGTACAAGATTTGTGTGCAATGATCACTCTGAAATATACTGTCAACAGTGTAACAAGAATGATTCCGAGAGTTCCTAAAAAATACTAATATTACCTATGATCTCAGTATACCTAAGTACAAATTGTTAATTATTGACAATTATTTTAATTTAGCTTGTTTTTGTATAATTAGTGAGAAATTCATGTTATTACCTATAACCATTAAATAATAAATAAAGCATTTTTATAATAATATAGTTCATTTACTTATAAAATTTCAGTATGTATTAAAAACTACTCATACAATTTGGGGTCATCTGTGACCCCATGCGAGCAGTTATGTAAGATTCTTTATGCGCGTAATTAAGGGTTAATTTTCAAGTAATTCTGATTGAGACCGGGGCTTAGTGCGAGTTTACATCAAACGTCTCGCTAGCGACTGCGTAAAAAATGACATTAAATGTATGACGGATTGTACAGCGCCTAGAGTAGGTACAACTAAAATCTTCATAGATTTTTAACGCACTCCCTAGTAGTCCCTAGCGACGATGCAAACTCACACTTAGCACGTAAAAGTTGCTGTGGTAGGATCAAAAAGAACTAATAACGATTAGTCACGTAATCCCCGTGTTATCTAAACTTTAAAATTCGCTTCCTAAACAGCGCACACTAAAATCAACACCATTAAAACACTCAATCCAAAATACAATCATATTTTTTCTTAATCAGCCTAAAGACCCATTGTTCTACCGATAACGAAGCGTTTTAAAAAGGTACATTTATAACAAACTGGTCCCAACTCAAAATCGACCATTTTTTACACGTGATAAATGATCGGTCATTGACCCTGTATTTTTTACCCGATTCCGAAGAAAGTGGTTCGGGGACAGTTTTTTGTGGCAACACTGAATAGGTTCAATTAGCCAGCCTAATTCGATGTTTTGACGGTGCTTAGGTACGGTCGCTGAGTTTTTGACACATTTTTTTATTGAATTAACAAGTTCGTCAGGATTTTTTTGTTTTTTTGAAAGCAAAGATTGGTTGGCACCTACCGCAGTGATAAATAATTAAAAAGTAATGAATTGATGATAAGTTAATCGAATTCTATCGGTAGTAATAAAAAAGTTTAGTTATTTATTTATAACGATAGATCGTTAGATATGAACTAGGAAAATCTAGTTCTAGATCTTTCTAATCTAGTCAATAATTAAATGCTTTCAACATTAAAATATATGTTTACATGAATGTACTATCCTTGTTTTATTTAAACTACTAAATATCTATTTTAAAATATTATAAATAAAGTTACTTTCAATATGACGATGATAAAAATCCTCAAAATATAATTTTGCCTCAAACTTTAATTTTAATTTTCCATGCGCAAAACTAAAATTAAATTAAAATGCAAATTAAATTAAAATAATTGGAATATCCTCACGTGAATCCCGTGAGCGGCTCCCGTACTTACTTCGTCCTAAAACAAAAGAAAACAAACAATTAGACACAAATTAAGTACACAAACAAAATACAAACTAAACATAATGGACTAATTTAGTATAGTATAGTAGTATAATTTATTTTGCAAATACTTAGTAATTTTAGCGAAGTAAATTTATTGAAAGATTTTTTAAGAAAAAATAGGCAATTTAAAAAAATATATTTTAAATGTATCAAACATACAGTTATAATAAATAGAAAATGTTTATTTACTCTATGAAATAAATCGCATTATCGCAAAAATAATGCGAAAGTAAATGTTGACCGCAAAATTAAAGTAGGTATGGAGTAAACAGTTGGGAACGCGTGGTTTCACAGGAGTCAATAACATTTTACTCAACTTAAATATTTAATAAGCCTATATTGAATAATAAGAAAATGAATAAGACACGCCGCAGTCTACAAACATTTGTCAGACGATAGTTTGGTCGGGCAGTTAAAAAATTACTATGAGTAAGTATGGAAGTGTTCAATTTTCAATTTCACCAATTTAGTATCGACCGATTCCTTATACAAATTCCGACCAAACTATCGACCGACTAAAAGTCTGTATTCATCGAGTCTTTATTACATTTAGTTAGACCATTCAAATAACATTTTCTCGCTTCCAAAAAATTGATATTTCTTGTCAATAATCTTTATAAACCAACTAACTTTAATCCTTAATTTTAATATCCCGAACAAAACCAGGCCCCATCACTAGTCTGCGCGAACGCATGACGTCACAGACCACCCACCGCCGCCTAATTAAGACATTACGGGTAATTACGGATCTTTATCTTGGCTACCACGGCTTATTTATCGGCTATACCTATAGAATACGGCTCCGATATCCGTGTGTTAAGGCGAATGCACGAGGAGAACCGGGTTCACCTTCATATTATACTAACAGCCGCCCGCGACATCGCCCGCGTGGAATTTTGTCTGTCACAGAAAAACTTTATCGCGCGCGTCCCTGTTTCAAAAACCAGGATAAAAACTATCCTATGTCCTTCCCCGGGACTCAAACTATCTCTATGCCAAATTTCATCAAAATCATTTTAGTGGTTTAGGCGTAAAAGCAAGACAGACAGACAGACAGAGATACTTTCGCATTTATAATATTAGTATAGAAGTATAGATTGGTATAGACTAACAGCCGCCCGCGACTTCGTACGCGTGGATCCCGTTTTACCCCCTCAGGCAGTGCCGGATTAGCCACGTAGCAAGAGTAGCAAATGCTACGGGCCCCGCGAATTTGGGGGCCCCGCGCTCCAACGCCTGTCTGACCGAAATAAAAAAAAGATTAATTTAGATAGGAGCGTAAAATATCTCGCATGCCTTAAACACGAAGCGCTTAGGCTATGCTTTACTTTCACTTGAAAATCTAATACTCTATTTCATCACGTTAAATCATAAAAAATAAGTAGGTAGGTATTTTACGAACTTTTTAACGTGAATGTTCTAATGTTTAATTATAATCGATAAAACTCATTTATTTCTGTGAATAGGCTTAAAAAAAGCACTTTTACACGTCCCAGTATTAACCCTACCACTGCTTCAGGACATTAAATGGGCCAGTGCTGAGAAGAAGCAGCGCAAGAAACTCAGTCACTATTGTCAGCCTCTTTTTCAAAGGTTTACAGGCTTTAAAATGTACAAAGTTAACTATAAATATTTATGCGAGCTAGGCAGTAACGCATCCCAAACATTTTTATCTTTTAAATAATCATCGACTTTATAGTAGCCCTTTTTCATTAAGGTACTTTTAATATGTGCTTTGAATTTATGAATGGTCAATGGGTAGTTCTACAACAGTTTGTGGTAATTTATTAAAGAATTTAATACATTTTCCCATAAATGAATTACCAATCTTATGCAGTCTGAATAGGCCAGTAGAATTAAACACAAAAATGAATTAAATCGGAAATAATTCCTACAAAAGATTTTATTGCTTTAATGGCTTCATTGGTTGCCCATAAAGACTCTCCTAGGTTTTCGACTTCGACGGAGTTGTGCTTAAGTGGTGGGGGCCCCAGAAAGGGGCGTTTTTTCGGTTTTCCGGTTATACTGCGTAAAGGACTTACCCTATCGAAAAGTGGTCTTCATGACGGTTGAAGGGTACTTAATCCTGCATTGAATAAGACCAAATTCATTATGTTTTGGACAAACCGTTCACGTGCTTATCTTCGATAGATAGATAGATAAATCATTTATTTGCATACACTTAACACACATGAAGAGTAAAGTTGCAGCATAACAATAATAAGAAAAGAATAGAATACAGTAGAATACTAGTTATATAAGCATGCATAAAACAAACAAAAGCAGTAACAAGTGGAAGAATACTTCCTGCATGATGTGTGTCGCAGCGATGCAAAAAGCAAAGAGCTCAATGTAAACACTGCCCTGAAAAGGGCAGAACACTGATTTTCAGCTCTTGCTAGGGAATCCGCGAAGCGCACGAAAACGAAATGAACCCTCCCACCATCCGCTATCAGTAAAAATGTTTAAAAAACGACTAGGGGAAATACCAATCAATATCATACTAATATTATAAAGGCTGCAACGTTGGGCGTTGGGACGATTAAATAAGTAGACTGACTGCGTCTTAAGAGCTCGTTTATTATGAGTGTATAACCTTATATACTACCTATGGGAGGTGAGTGTGTGCGTAGTGACGCGCATACTACACCTCCCACGTTTTTTTTTTGTTTTTTTTTTACATAAAAGAAAGCCAATGGAATAAAAAAAAAAAGGTTTTACAAAATTGGGTACCTGACACCATTCTCCAATAATTTCAAGATTGAGTAAAATAAGACAAAGAGAAGAAAAAAATATTTCAATTAGTGGTGTCAAATAACCATAACAAATGAATAGTGTTAAAAAATATTAAAAAAAGAATTAATACTTAATCTAAACGTGTTGTTGACGATTATTTAAACTGTTATGTAATATTCATTCATATTAAAAATAAAGTCACATCCAAGTATTTCGTACTAATTCGTACTAGTACCTAAGTCATATCCATTAAAATTTCCATATCCGATAGTACGTCATTAAAATTCTTATGAGGTGGCCACCCTCATGTTTTAATAGTTAGTAGATCTACTACACTTACAAGTCATTATTTATTTATTTATAGTCGACTTAATTCATTTTATCATTTCATCATGGTACTTTTATAAAATGTGCGCGCACTTTATAATCATATTTATTTATTTATAATAATCATTTAAATTAAGGGATAATTTTAAGACTTATAATGTCTCCAACTATTCTCACAGAGATATCTAGTATGCACCATGATCGAACGAAGGATAATTCCCCTTAATATTATTTATTTTAGTACCATGTTTACATAATATTCATATAATATTTCAATATTCATTCAATATCTAACAAAATACTTTACAATCTCACAAACCTACGCAATCAATGCACAAGAATATCTTAAAACTTTTGGGTGATCAGTCCAAAATAATTATACAGGGTGTTAGGTAAATGGGTATATGAGCCGACACTAACCCATGTTAACATGGTCATATAAATGGTATGGTGAAGTCAGAAAATTGATATCTTCATTTTAATTATTTTAATTTTCATACAAATCGGATTTTAGATTTTTTTTTGTATGAAAATTTAAAAAATTAAAATGATGAAATCAAATTTCTGACTTCACCATACCATTTATATGACCATGTTAACATGGGCTAGTGTCGGCTCATATACCCATTTACCTAACACCCTGTATAGGACGGCCTACCTACAGGCGGCATTAAATAACAATATAATTATGTTATTTGTTTACTAAAAAATGCCATCTTAATTTACATAAAGTCGTTCTAACTTCTGTATTTTTCGGTGGTGTGTGTGCCATAAATAAGTTAGTGTAGGTATCTACCCAATAAGTGGTACTTATAAAACGATTGATTGAAGATTTTCCTTAAACGATGATGAAAAACAACACAAAAAATCATGTTGGAATTGTTTGGTCATCTAATTTGAAATCTTGGTTTTACAAAATTATGGGTATACAGCCGTCTTTATCTCGTAACTATGGCTATTCTAGCTCTATTTTAGTCTTTACTATGCTATAGTACTTAAATATTAGAATTATCTACAACGTGTAATTGAATATACGCAAAATAAAAAAGATAATAATTAACTGAGTAGGTATTAAAGTTTACAGAAATAGTGTTCTTATGATGCAGAGTCCAAAACACTCCAGTACTACGTTTCCTAAAATGAGTTACGATTATGAGTATACTAGATGATTAAGACATCAAATTCATCAGGAAATTCTTGATTTTTGGCACTGTTTTATTTCTATTTCACTTACGCATTTATTTCATTCGATAATTTTATTGAAGATTTAGAAGAGTTATTTAGTCCATTTTTATAAGTTCACTTTTCACTATATTTTCAAATTGATTTTATTTTACTTTTATAATTTTCCAAACCATCTGCTCAGCGCTGCGTGAGCAGCACTGGCAGGGTCGCCATGCAACGTTGGGCGTTGGAACGATTAAATAAGTAGACTGACTGCGTATTAAGAGCCCGTTTATTATGAGTGTATAACCTTATATACTTATAAATCTGCTTAAAAATTCGTGTTTTTTTTGTTATTTTATAAATTTCTCCAAAAAATGCCCCTATAACCGGTGGTTTTTATTACTTTGTATTATTTTCTATCGTATTATCTTTGTAAAACCAAAAATCGCATGTCTCTATCCCTATCACAACATTTGCAATGATCGTTTGAACTAAGCCTCTCCGGGCGCGCCATTCAACGCTTCGTTAACAACAAAACTGAAAATGGCTCTAGATTTGTAATTTTGATAAAGACAAGTTAGATTTCAAATAAAAACAAAAGATTTCTAAGTAAAATAAGCATTTTAGTTAAAATTAAAATTGTCTCTACCTGTAGCGGAGAATAATGTTGTGGCAGGCCTTTGTTCAAACGATCATAGCAAATGTTGTGATAGGGATAGAGACATGCGATTTTTTGTTTTAAAAAGATAATACGATAGAAAATAATACAAAGTAATAAAAACCACCGGTTATAGGGGCAATTTTTGGAGAAATTTATAAAATAACCAAAAAAACACGAATTTTAAAGCAGATTTTTTTCAAAAAGTATCATTTTTTATTATTTATTGGCATTTTTTTTGTATTTTATGTATTTTTTTAGTATCGCCTGTTATTTAGCATTATTACTGTTTTTATTTTATCAAGATATACCGCTTAGTTTAAAAGTTATTACGTTTTCTTTACAATAAGTAATTTGAAGAAAAAAAATTCTATAAAAAATTAAAAAAAATCTCAAAAAATTTTTGACCTCTTTTTTGTCGATAAAAATAGGTCTAGTTTCATCTATTTTCATATGTACACTTTAACGTGACTCACACTGTATTTTTTTTTTTATACAATGTATAAATTATATTCTGTCATAGAATCAAAATTATTCTTATTATTATTATCGTCTTATCCGTGCAATCATATTTTCCATTTCATAGTTATTACATAATTTCTAGTTACATAATAAGTCATTTACTATACTGAATATACTGTAATAAAATCATATTAAAAACAAAACAAATAGATTTTAAGTAAAATTATTTACGTTCATAGTCGTAAAAGTTAAAATGTATGTAAATCATTGTGCAATATCTATTGTGTGTTGACCCAAATAAATCAGCAATCTATAAGTCAGCCAAGTGATATTTTACCTACACTGCAAAATATTTTTCAACATAGAAATCATCAAATTATAAGTATTGCGTTTTCAATGGTTTACTTTACATTATTTCGTCATAACATAACTATTTTAATTAATTTCATTACTGTATCATGAAAAAAAATGTCAAAATATTGTTTTACTTTAAAGTTAAATCCAACCAATAATCCTAATTAATGTTTTGTTAAAGATACACATTTAGAAATGCGATCTTGGTGGTCTTAAAAAGTCTACAAATATGACACAAATTTAAAATATTTACTTGCATATCAAATACAATTATTGTTTAAAATGTAAAGATCTTAATTACAGCGAAGTATTGTGTCGATACGCTAGAAATTACCTACATGTCATCATAACGTGTATGATGCTAAATCACGTTTTGCTGATTTGCAATAAGTCGTACCTATGCGTTGAGTGCAATGACATGACTGTGTAACAAAATCATTGACCTACTTTTAGAAATTCAAATATTTTAAAATACAAATTTTAGTAATAATATTAATGTAAATAAATCCTAGTCAAATAAAATGTAACAAAATGAGGCTGTAAAACACTGGTGTGATTGTGTAAAAACTAAAAATACTCAAATTGGTTAATTTCTGTAAGAAAAAAAAAATTACAATATTACTCTTTACTTCTGCAAATAAAATATTATGCGAATTATTCAGTACATATTACATTATTATGTTGTCAATAATAAGTCGTCAACAAACGTTATTATTAATAACGTTGTTATTATTTTTAACTTATACATAAAAAGATATTTATACATGTTACATCTTCAATAAAAATATCGAATTCCCTTATTCCATTGCAAATTTGTAAATTAAGTTTTAATTAGTACATTTAATATTTCCATAAAAAAATACTCACAAAAATAATTTTCTTTAAAAAACGTTACGAAATTATTTAAAAAAAACATATCTCAAATTAAACCAATAAATTAACACTTCAAAAATTAAATTATTCTCCAATTTAAATGATAATAATAAATGACAAACATATTTTACCGTAGAATGATGACCTAATTTTTTAAGAGGACAAGAGGACTTTTCTTCATGGGGCAAAAGGGGACTTCTGCACGGGGACTTATCATGATGTAGGGAGGGTTCTCCCGGCTGCACCACTTCCGACTCGAACACTCCCGGCACCCTGCTAACTGCTGTTAACCTCATCTGGCTCCATCATCGCCCGGCTCCCAGCACATGTTGTTACCTCATCTGACTCCATCATCGCCCGGCGCCCAGCTCGTTCAGTTCTTCATTACCTCGGTCCGTTGTCTTCTAACGTCTTCATCAGGATCAGGAAATTCTTGATTTTTGGCACTGTTTTATTTCTATTTCACTTACGCATTTATTTATTCGATAATTTTATTGAAGATTTAGAAGAGTTATTTAGTCCATTTTTATAAGTTCACTTTTCACTATATTTTCAAATTGATTTTATTTTACTTTTATAATTTTCCAAACCATCTGCTCAGCGCTGCGTGAGCAGCACTGGCAGGGTCGCCATGCAACGTTGGGCGTTGGAACGATTAAATAAGTAGACTGACTGCGTATTAAGAGCCCGTTTATTATGAGTGTATAACCTTATATACTTATAAATCTGCTTAAAAATTCGTGTTTTTTTTGTTATTTTATAAATTTCTCCAAAAAATGCCCCTATAACCGGTGGTTTTTATTACTTTGTATTATTTTCTATCGTATTATCTTTGTAAAACCAAAAATCGCATGTCTCTATCCCTATCACAACATTTGCAATGATCGTTTGAACTAAGCCTCTCCGGGCGCGCCATTCAACGCTTCGTTAACAACAAAACTGAAAATGGCTCTAGATTTGTAATTTTGATAAAGACAAGTTAGATTTCAAATAAAAACAAAAGATTTCGAAGTAAAATAAGCATTTTAGTTAAAATTAAAATTGTCTCTACCTGTAGCGGAGAATAATGTTGTGGCAGGCCTTTGTTCAAACGATCATAGCAAATGTTGTGATAGGGATAGAGACATGCGATTTTTTGTTTTAAAAAGATAATACGATAGAAAATAATACAAAGTAATAAAAACCACCGGTTATAGGGGCAATTTTTGGAGAAATTTATAAAATAACCAAAAAAACACGAATTTTAAAGCAGATTTTTTTCAAAAAGTATCATTTTTTATTATTTATTGGCATTTTTTTTGTATTTTATGTATTTTTTTAGTATNAAAAAAAAACTTATCAGGTCCTTACGACCCGATGTCGCACTAAAAGTAAACAAATATCGTTTAGTGCTTTTATCGTGTCTAATCGACCCGTTGACATATGACTTTATGGTCACTGATCACGGTCGAGATCGGTATACTAAGAGAAAATCAACCTTGCGATTTGAAAAAAATAAAGAGGTAAAAATTATGATGGGTTCAGGGATGTCAAAAGTAAGAAATTATTTGACATAGCGCCTCTAGTCCCAAACTAAGCAAAGCTTGTAATTTATTCAAACATGGCAATGTACCATTCTGCTTGCTTATTGGCCGCTAAGCCCTTGGCCAACTCAGTAACCAATGACGGACGATTGTCACTCAACCACAAAGTACCGCGTAAATTAAAAGATATTTTTAATTAAAAATATTAACCAATAATATTTTTTGTTAGATCAAATATATTTTAAAGTTGAGTTATAACATAGATCGAAATGTATTTATTAGGTGATCAATATTAAAAGGCAAACTTGATATAAAAATCATCAAATTAACAAAATTAAAGATCAATAACTAAAAAAGAGGATCAAATATTATTTTTGTTTACCAAATATTAAAAGAGTATGTTAAACATAAATATTATGTTACCTTTAATAAAGATCATTCATAATTTATCCATAGATCAATTAATATAGACCCAATAATTAATATAAAGATAAAATATAATAAAAAACATCATTTATTTTTAAAAGTGCACATACAAAAAAGATCAATTAGTTTTTAGAGGATCAAATAATATTGTCCCTTTCTAAATTTGCCCACATTAAATCAAGAAAAGTTCATTTGTAGATAACAGTTTTGTTTCATTTAATACCCTTAACTTGAGAACCTAAAGCAAACCAAGGGCCCCTTGATAGAAATTTGCTACAGGCCCCGCGCTGGCTTAATCCGGCACTGCCCTCAGGGGTAGAATTTTGCAAAATCCCGTCTTAGTGAGCAGCACCTACGTTCTAAAAGGAACCCCCATGCAAAATTTGAGACTCCTAGCACTTGCAGTTTCTGAGATTTCGTGAAAAATCAGTCAGTGACCTGAGTTCTGAGTTTTATAATATAGATCAGTCAAAAGTTGAACTAGTTGAAAGTACTAAATATTATTGTTGCAAAACAAATATTATTACGTTTATTTGTTTAACTAATTAAATTAGTTATTAATCGTTAATGCTCTTGCTTTACATGTCTCATTATTTTTTTTCCTGTCAGCGCTTCGAGACACATTTGACAAGTGCTGAGAAGAATACCGGACACCACTGTCTGCCACTTTATGGTGTAAGCGGAATAACTATAGGTATTTGTGTGAAGAACACAGAACTATACCTATCGCCCGTATTCACAAACATTACTATGAGGTCTTACAGTGCGCGTAGACGCACAGGGTGACACACGAACCAATCACAGGGCTCTATTCAATGCTGGTTCGATTTGCTGCATAACTTAAGCTAGCATCTTTTGTGAATACGGGCGTACCTAAGTGTTTTAGCGATCATCATCGATACAGTTTTGTTGCAAAATAACAGTTGTCACAGTGTTGACCAAAATCACCAGGTCATTTAAGTATCTACTGAGGGAGCATAACCAGAGGCAAATGGAGGATTTGGCCTACACTCCCCACGCTGGCCAGAAAAAAAGCTTAAAAATTGTGTTACATACACATTCTTAATTAGCTTGACTAAATGACGTTATCTGTCATTTAGGTTTCAGTGCCACCTTCAAATATTTAAAAGAAAAGCCAATACGAAGTTTTTGTGCCAATGCCACTACACTCCTAGGTGGTACACATTGTAATTTGGATTAATGCCAAAATTTTTTCATCGAAATATGTATTTAAAAACCTGGGTTATTTTTACATGACTTGAAAATTCAAAAGTAGGTATTGTAAAGAGAAATCAATGGCTTAAAAAGTAAAATAAAGTTGGTTGTATGAATAAATTGAAATGTTGATGGACTTCAAAATATGCATGTGTGTAGAAAGAGTTTAGCCAAATATCCAAAACTCTGAGGCTGAGTTGCATTGTAACACCTTACTTTAACCGTAACTATAAACGGTCTTTTTTGTGTGGACTTTGACAGATTTTTGACGTTTGTTAAAGTAACACTGAGAATTATTAAAGTCTATCACAGAAAAACTTAATCGCGCGCGTCTTTGTTTCAAAAACCAAGATAAAAACTATCCTATGTCCTTTCCCGGGACTCTAGTTTAAGCTATTTTTGCCTAGGCTTTAAAAACACTGTTACACTGTATTAACCCTACCACTGCTTCGGGACAATAAATGGGCCAGTGCTGAGAAGAAGCAGCGCAAGAAACTCACGCCCGTATTCACAAACATTACTATGAGGTCTCACAGTGCGCGTGGACGCACAAGGTGACACACGAACAGATCACAGAGCTCTATTCAAATCTGTGCATTCGATTTGCTGCTTCACTTGAGCGAGCATCGTTTGTGAATACGGACGTAACTCATTTTGGCCTAAAACTCAGTCAGACAGAGCTAAATATTTAAAATAACAATTTGTGGCTTCCCCTTAAATACACATATCCGACCGATTGATCATTATTTCTTTATTAACTCTTTATGCTCTGTGACCAATCCAAAATTGTGTTGTCTATGGCCTAGACTTGGGCAGAGTTTAACGCGACATCGCCATGACGAATCAGTTTTGGATGATCTGGGCAACGAATTGTAATGATCAATCGATGATCATTTTTTTCTTCTTTTAAGTTGGGCTTCGTTCGGTTTGCACAGGCAAAGGCATGCCAAGTAAATACTTAAAAGCGAAATACCACTCACTGATTAATCACGATATATCAGAAACTATAACACCTACAAACTGGAAATTAGGCAGGTAGGTTCCTTAAAGGGTGTAGATAGACATCCGCTAAGAACGGATTTTACGAAACTCCACCCCTAAAGAGGTAAAACAGGGTGCATGCATAGGTACGTACGGAGTCGCGGGCAGCCGCTAGTTACTTAATATTTCTTTAGAAGTTTATTCTAATAATGATATTTTAACTATAGCCTGACCAGAAACATAAAAACCCTGGCATAGAGGCGCGTCAATTGCATTTGATAGTGCAACACTGAGTACAGTCGTACCTGTGTTAAATTAATAGGCTAACTTTATGTATCAGGATTCAAGATTACGGGCTAATTTGATATTTTCATAAATTAACGAAAAAATATTATTATAGGTAACCTGGTTTAAATAAATTAAATGAAACCATCAATCGAGCTAGTAGGATTTATTTTATTATTCATCAATAATCAAATTCATAACTTGAATATTCAACAGCAATGTCTGCTCATGAACGCTTCAAACTCGGTACCTACTTCTTTCCCAATTCCATAAAATTCAACACTTAGAAAGTGACAAAAATCTTTAAAATAGGTAGTTGAAACAAACCACAGCTAATTTTCATAGTGGACTGTACTATACGATAAACATGTCAGTCAATTTGACAACCTTTGTCGGAAACATTATTCAATGAAAATATTGTCCGAACCCTTAGTATTTCTCTTCGACAAATACTTTAACACATTGTGAACCACTTTTCTTTCACGACTATAAAAAGATTTTAGCAATTTAATTCACAAAATCAATTGCGCATATTTAAAATAAAGTTTGTTTACACTTTGACAGCAATAGACTGACATGCAAGGTGACATGTCAATGAAGTTTTCAGTTACTGTTGCCATTAAAAGAAATTAGTACCATTAGTTTTCCGCAACATGGCGAGGGTTTTTATGTTCCTGGTCGGGCTATAATAATGATAGATATCTCGCTTCCTTGTCGTTTTATAAAAGATTTGACATTTTACCGAGCTATGTCTTCAGCAAAATGTGTAAAATTTTCTTCGATATGTAACTAACACCCGTATCCACAAACGATGCTTGCGTAAGTAAAGCAGCATATCGAACGCACAGCGTTGAATAGAGCTCTGT